AAACTGTTGACCTTTCAGTCAGCAGCCCGACACATCACCAGCACACTCTTCCAGCAGTGCTCCCTTCCTTCTCTGCAGGGTGCTGTAAATGCACACAAACAGTGCAAGACTGCAGTGAAGAGTCTAGAATTTAGAGTTTGAACCAAGAGTGGATAATGATCAGTTTAGCTATGAAAGTAACATCATCAACAACAACAATAATAATAAAACCCTCACTACCATTGAGTTGATGCCCCTTAGAATTTCTGAGACAGTAGCTCTTTACGGGAGTAGAAAGCCCAGTCTTTAGCTCCCAGAGTGCTTGGTGTTTTCTAACTGCTGACCTTGTGCTTAGCAACCCAATGGGTAACCACTCAGCCACCAGCGCTCCTAGGAAAGTAATAGAAGAAGTTAGTTTCAAAATTTGAGTACTCTGTGATCAGAAATATTTACAGCAAAGAATTTTGGGAAGAACTGGAAAGGACATGACAAATCTAAACCTAGATTTATCTAGACTTTGAATGCTGGTTGGTGTGTGATCTTCAAACATAAATATCTATGATCTCTTCTATAGGAGCCTGTGTGTTCATAGATATATTTGGATTCTCATTTTGTTAGTCTGGAGCCTTTAAGACCAGTGTAACAAGAAACAGAAAATCCTACAAGATTCAAGTGTATGTATTTCATATGTTACTTCTAAGCTGCTTTTGTAAGAAGTTTGTTTAAATTCCATTTAAAAGAGTGAAGGCGGTGTTGAATAGCACGCATTCCCCTTTGCATCTTTCATGATGTATTAGCAATTTACTACTTTTCTTAGGTTGATGAATTTGAACTTGATCAATTATCTGATAGTAATTACTAGCACACCATGATTATTACTGAAGTCGCATTTTTATTTCACTTCTCCACAGTGTTAGGGTACCCAAATAAGCAAGTGAAGCATGGCCTTGTGCTTACTTACTAATCTCTATGGAGGGAAGAGTTTCACAGTTTCTCAGCACATCAGTGGTTCAGTATTTTTTAGGTATGGCTGGTGTTAGTCTCTCTCCCAACCCCATACCACCTCTCTGCAGAATCAAACCTTTCTTCAAAGTAACAGTCCCTGATCGGCACAATTACCCAGTAAGCAAGGCAAGCTTGGGCTTACTGTGCTCTTATGTCAAACTGTTCACCACAGCTTAGTAAGTAGGCACAAGTAAGCCCAGGCTTTGCTTACTGGGTAATTCACCCTTGGTCCACCATGTATTTCCGGCTCTTTTCATTGAGGTGTGTTTGTGGGATCAGCAGAATATGACTTGCTTTTTTGGCTCTTGGCACTGAGGCTGGAGAATTTTAGGTTTCTTAGATGGAGTAGTATTTTAAAAATCCTCTGTTATTGGAAACCATCTGGACATGCCTTTCTAAACGTCTAGGACTGTGTTTCCCACGGTGGGTGCTAGGCTCCCTGGATGGGGGTGCGCTGGAAGCACCCGGAGGCTGCGAGAGCAGGTACTTGGACTTTATCCTGGATTATGGGTGATAGTACAAAAGTTTTCAATTGCCAGGGCCGCATTGAGTAGTAGTATTTTCCTTTTCTGAAAAGGGGGCGATAAGTGAAATGTGTTTGGGAAGCTGTGCTGTAAGATAGGGATCGGCAAATTTTTAAGAAGGAAGAACCAATCCTGACCCTCACAACAATTTAAAAATTATTTAAGAGCCATAAATGTACTTTTGCAAATAAATAGAATCACTCTTACCTGAATAATATCCTTTACATTTTTTAAATGAAGCTAGGATACTTTTATCTTCATTTTCACTCCAGAGCCACATGTAGCTACTGGAAGAGCCCTATATGGCTCTCAGGCCGCAGTTTGCTGAACCTGCTCTGGGAGAAGAAAGAACAGAGACCCAGCCTTTTCTCCTCTAGCAGATTCAGAAGTTCTCTGTTTCATCTTTGACATCGTTGTAAAAAGGTGTTAAAAAGCATACCTGTAGCAGTTCATCAGTGTCTCCATCTTTAATCGGTGACATGATGCCATATAGCCAGTATCACTGTCCTTTTCCAAATTATTCTCACAGAAAGGTCTCTGACTCTTTGACCATTTCTTTGCCTGACCTTCCTCCAGCTCCTGGTTCTGCTGAGCTTCATTCATTCCCCTGCCATCAGTAGTCATTCCTAGTCAGCTGGGTTTGTCTCTGCTCTGTCAGCACTGTAGACCTGTGAGCTCTGAAGAGATGTGCCCATACAGACAGAAGGGCCAGCCTTCGCTTTTCTGGTTCATTGAGTTCTTTTGAGATAATGAGAAAGAGGAGGAAAAAATAGAAGGCAAATAAAACAAAACAAAAAAACACCTTAAAACAAAACAACATACTGAAAAATGGGAAACAAAGAAAGAAGAGAAATACTTGTTTGGGCACAGAATAGTGAAAGGGGTGGTGTGTGTGTGTGTGTGTGTGTGTGT